GTTTAGGGAGCCGGTGTCTTACCCGTACTTCCTACAACACGAACAAACCCTAATGAGTTTTCGCTCAACAAGTAACAGTAGGCCATAATAAATACAAATAATAATGCACACCCATATATGCATTCATATCAAACGTCCTTCAAACGTCCTAACACGCTTCCTAAATATTCAAAGTGTTCATCATATTATGCTATCTTGTCTTTCGTTCCATACTTCTTGAAATCTTTCGTTTTTGTGTCGTTCATTATATATAGTGTAAGTATACCTTATATGAAGGATGGAATGAATCCATATACCTATTTATAGCTTGCCATCTTATATTCTAGCTCTTGACTCAAAGCATATGTAGATAGATCCTAGCCATTGATTCTATATCTAATATCTACCCTTGGATCATAAGTGTTTTGGCTAAATCTTGGCCATTGATGAAATTCCAAGTGTCCATTTACTTAACAAGTGTCTAACAAAAGACAATTTGAACTTTTCTTCTTTCCTAATCTTGACAAGTGTCCACTTAGAAGAAAATTTGAACTTTTCTTCTTTCCTAATCTTGACACTTGTTTACTTAGAAGAAAATTTAAACTTTTCTTCTTTCATAATCTTAACAAGTGTCCATTATATGTGAATTCTTTTATATCTATATGTTATCTGATAAGACGGTTATTACAATATCTATCATTTGCAAATTTCTTGAAAACTGGAGCGTGTGGACATCCTAGGGACAAAAAGGATAATAATTAATAGTTCGTCGCTAGAGGTTCTGTGTATTTGGTTTTCATGAAATCTTTGTAATCTTGATGTGTTTGTAGAAAAGCTTAATGAGATGTGGGTGGGGTGTTTCTTTGATTCTCTGATAAATCGGAGACAATTGAAGTGGGGCCGTTTCCAGTTAAGTTTTGAGTTTAAGCAAAGCTTGCTTAGCTTGTTTCATACAAAGAGTGAGTGAGAATCGTCTTCATAGGAATTGAGTGTTAAATTATCGTTAAGTACCGCAATTATCGTAACTCAATTTTATCTGGGCAACCAAACTAAATAAAATAAAATAGAACTTAAACATCTATAAATACAAAAATAAGATAAAATATGGAAACTTGTCAAGTGTACTAGGGACTTAACTTCACCTTATCATTCATATGTTCATCCTATTAAGCCAATGCTAGCCAATTCCACTCAATTCATTAATCAAGGGGCCTAATCTAACCTCGCTACCTCTCCCGAGCGTCAAGAGAAGTTATATATACGAATACCCGAATCAATATTCCTATCTATTTACTCATACACTCATTAAGTTTAGCCCTTAAATTAGAACTCAAATGTCGATCGCCTGCCGGCCTCACAACAATCCAAATCCTAATTGATAATCAAGGTTTTGATCACTCTCTCAACGAGATTATCTAAGTGTTGATCTCCTCTGGACTCACAACAACCTAGACTATGTTTTCCAATTCTGAACTATGAAATAAATCTCTTTCCAGCATCAAAATCACAATCTAAAATTATCTAACTCATTGGTCACATAAATTAGAAACATTAAGCATAGAGAAACATAAGTAAATTAAAATGGAATTTAAACTAACAATTGACAATATAATCAACATGGTTTAAATAAAGCTACATCAAGCCCAAGAATATGAAGTCTAACTCAACATAGAAGAATCTATAACTAAAATCACAAATTTAAGAGCAAAAACTAAAAAACTACAATAAAAAGGAAAAAAGGAGAAGGAAGAGAAAACTCTTGTGGAGATGAGCTTCAAGTCTTCAAATTTTCAAGCATCTCTCCCAAACATTCTTTAAGAATCTCCAACTCCAAGCTTTTCTTCTAGGAAATTTTATACCTCTTGTTGATACCAGAATTTCTCACACACCGATGGCCCACCGGCGAAGTATTGTCCCCACTTGGGCCCGCCGTGACGGGTGGAGTTTTGTCCCTTCGTAAAAGGCGTCTCGCTGGTAGGAGGGGTTGGCACTCTGGTACATATACCTCTCCAGACCCCCGTCTCCAACCGATGTGGGACTCTTGGTGTACAACAGTGCCTCCCGAGACGGGGGGACTGGGGAGGCAGGCTGTGGCCAAACGTCCCTAGTGGAGTCGCCAACTGTTGATACCAGAATTTCTCACACACCGATGCCCCACCGGTGAAGTATGGTCCCCCCTGGGGCCCGCCGTGACAGGTGGGGTTTTGTCCCTTCGTAAAAGGCGCCTCGCTGGTAGGAGGGGTTGGCACTCTGGTACATATACCTCTCCAGACCCCCGTCTCCAACCGATGTGGGACTCTTGGTGTACAACACCTCTCATCCTCTTCAAGTTGGGAACTAGGGTTTCTTTTGCTTAAATATGCTCAAACACGGAGAAAATCTTAGCCAAACACATCCAAGGGTCTAAAACTGGCCTTCTATATTGATCAAGGGCTGAAAAATAGCCCAAAGTTCGTCAACAACACGTAGGGGGAGGTGGCTGCGCACCATGGTGGTACGGATGCGCGCCCAATGTTGCGCGGCTACGCGGGGTGTGGCACGGGCATGCGACTTAGGTGGAGCGCCGGCACAGGTGGTTCTGCCCAAGAGGGCCCTTGTGTGGCCTTGAGTGCTTTTTGCTCCAATTTTTTACTCTAAAATGCCACTAAGTCCCATTTTATTATTTTTCCTACAAAATAATACGAAAAACATATTAAACTAACAAAAGTGCTTGAAGACTCACAAATATTTGAACTAAAAAATACTTGATTTGTTAGTAAATAATCTCTTCATCAAATGGTACGGCCGTGCGGCTAGCCGCACACCCGCGCGCCCAATGTTACGCGGCTGCGCGAGGTGTGGCGTAGGCACGTCCCTCAGGTGGTGCGCTTGTGCAGGTGGTTCAGCCTAAGAGGGCCCTTGTGCGGCCTTGAGTGGTTTTTGCTCTAATTTTTTATTCTAAAATGCCACTAAGTCCCATTTTATTATTTTTTCTACAAAATAACACCAAAAACATATTAAGCTAACAAAAGTGCTTGAAGACTCACTAATATATGAACTCAAAAATACTTGATTTGTCGGTAAATAACCTCCTCATCATTAGGAAAAGTGTTTTTTAAAGCATTTGGTATTATTTGGTTATTTTATTATTAATAAGATAAAAAGATTTTTCATTATAATTATATACATGTATTATGCATACTTTATGAATTTAATTGAAATTTCATGATTATTTATGTGACCTTAAATATTGTATATAAGTGTTATATAAAGAGAATAATATTTAAAGATATTAATCAAAACATATTCGTTATAAATTAATTAAATTTATAGAATCTTTAATTAAAATATTACTTGTACATACATGTCATTACCATTAACAATAGAATGATCTTTTCCGAATCGTTAATATGTCGAGATATTGAATGAGTGTACTTTATGTAATATGATTATGCAGAATAGGGACAAGATACAATTTGAATCACTAATAATTTCTATTAAGTGTAGAGATTCAAATAATATCTACCGATTGTCATATATATGATGATTTTAATCCTAAATTATTAACAAATTTCTATTTTTTAGAATTATTTATTTTGATTTAAGCGGTATAGATTTTGATATCACTAAATCCTATTTTTTAAACTTTGGAGAGAAAATAAAATAAGTAGCTAAGAATGTTATTGCATGAGATAGAGTACATTCATTATTATCTAAGAAGCTAGATAATAATTCTCTTGAGAGTGTTCATTCAGGCTTAAATAGTAAGGCTACACAATATATGATTAAGTTTATAAATTTATTATTCATTAGAAAATCATTGATTCTCAATAAAGATGTAATTAGATAGGTTAAATGATTTCTACCTAACTCTAACTATGAATTATTTATGAAAGATTGATCTATATGTAATGACTCTATCGAATGGATTATTCATATATTCTTTGAGTAATTTGTCTAGGATTTCTACCTAACTCTAACTATGAATTATTTATGCAAGATTGATCTATACGCAATGACTCTATCGAATGGATTATTCATATATTCTTTGAGTAATTTGTCTATAATTACAAGATTGAAACTCTAAAGTTTTTGGTGGAGTAAATTTGGAACAAATAGAATTGATAAATTAATTAAAAAGTTTAATTAATTATTAATTTATTGTAAATTGAAATTATAGGCCAAGAGTTCCTTTGCCATCTTCGTAAATACTATTTAGATAAGCGGAATTATCGGGTTCAATTCAATAAAATAATTTAGAATTATAGTTTTAAATTATCTCAGTAAATAAATAAATTTATAAATATTAAATAATATGATTATTTAATAAATTAATTTTGGAATAAGCAGTTTGGTGACCACATTATGTTGTCGAACCCCAGGCGGGGTCCAAGCCAGCGTGCACACTCGGTTTCTTTTTCTACATGTTTCTAATTTTGATTTCAAATAAATATGAAAATTTGATAAAAGCAAGGTGGTCTCCCAATTTTGTTCAGAAATTGTCACAATAAAAGTGGCGACCATTTAGCTTTTTGCTGAGGCGAACAGAGTCGAGCTTGTCACACCATTGGTGGTTGTTCAACAAGTAATTAAGCTCCATTGAAGGGCTTCTTCCCAGAGCCCGCTTCATTTCTGAGAGAGTTTTTAGTGCTGGAGAATTGCAGTGAAATATTAGTTTGATTTGTGAAACTTAAAATGGTATGAGTATATTATTTTAGTCTTTTCATTTGTTTTTTATTTAGCTTTCTTTTGATATAAAAATATGTGAAAACGTACCCTCCAAATTTTTAAAGTTGTAGACAATTATAAAGAAGATGATCTGACTTAGTAAAGTTTCAAGCGCATAAATTCTCTCAAATTATGTCTTAAAATCTGTGGAAACATACTATTAAATTACGTGCAAAACAAGAAAGACCCCAAAAGTTACATTCACCCCTTTAACATATATATATATATATATATATATATATATATATATATATATATATATATATATATATATATATATATATATATATCCCATTTCTAAGGGATGGCTTGGCTTTTAGCTTTCCCTCCAAGTTACTAAAACTAGATAATGGGAAATTCCATTGACAAAAAAAGTCCCAATTAAGGCTGGCTATTGGGGAGTCTGATAAGAACAGAATGTTCTGGCTTGTGGTCACATTCATAGTCAAGATGAACAAATGCCCTCTCTACTTCAGGAAGTTCCTCAATCTTTATCTGCAACGATTCACCAATTGCGTGCGCTTCTTTTAGTGGCAAATCTTCCGGAAGTTCAATGTCGACCTGTTTTTTGCAATCCCAAAAATTCAAGTTACATGCTTGTTTGATCAAGTATAAAAAGTGAAGTTAAAGATATAGATGTCAAGTACTTAAGAGTACAAATGATAAACTAACCTCTACAAAATACAGAACTCCAAAGGTGTAGGCGCGAACAGTGTCGACGCGTCTGATTAGAGGGTGATGCCTTAAGACAAGGTATGTGAGTTTCTGCAAGACTTCGGGGGGAGCTGATTGGCCAACCAAAGAAACTACAAATGAAGAAGCAAAAAAACTGGTTAATTTGAACATCAAAATCTATACTACTTATTAGGAGGGGACAATCGAGTACTTGACTGTGTAATACAATTACAAGGTAGGTTTGCCAATTTTGTTCCAGCAAGAAAGAGTAATAACCTGCATTTTCCAGCACAGTTCCAGACCAGTTCAAAATGGTGTAGACCGCAAGAATAATGGCGCCAACCGGGTCAATCCACCAGTAGAATTTGTCACCAAGAACAGCAGCAACCAAACCGATTACATTCGTTACGACATCGAAATAGTGATCCTGTTAAAATCATCATCAGTCAAGGCATTGGATTAGTCAACATAAATGCACAATGATGAATGTCAAAGACAAAAAGAATGAGTTTGTCAAGTCGAACCTTTGCGTAGGCTTGGACGATTTTGTTGCCCGAGCTTCTGCAGTAAATCCAAAGGACAAGTTTCACTCCAGAAGCTGTTAGCATGATTACATACAGCCAGAACAATTGGTCCGAAGTCATCTTCTCAGATGGTTTATCTTGAATCAGCTGCTCCAAAGCTTGGATCAGAACTTGGAAGCCTATCAAATAAGTCAGCCTCAGAACTTACTAAATTAAGTTCCAAAATGCATAACAATACATTTGCTTTAAAGCAATATTTTTGCCTCCATTAAAAGGGTTTTGCTTTCTTTTTTAGTTAATTTTGTCTCACCAAACAAAACCTCAATACAGCAATATCTCAAAGCACTTACGAAGCCAACTCTAAAAGTGAAAAAAAAAGAAGATGACTAGGCTGCAAATATAACATAACATACTACACCAAGTGAGACAAAATTAAGAAGTTTCTAGAAGGTTCAAAAACATAATACATACATACATACATACATACATACATACATACATATATATATATATATAACATACCAAGTGTGGCCATAACAGCTGCAAATATGACAATGCCCACTGGTTGAACTCTGAGTTTTCCAATGGGATACTTGTAAATATTTATGTTTGTCATTGACAAATGAGTGAACCAAAGTATACCACCAGCCATAAGATCAAGTAGAGAATCAAGTGTTGACGCTGCAATAGCTATCGATCCACTCTTCACTGTAGCATATATCTGCAATATTCCACAATATATACATATATATGTTTCAATTGTCAAACTGAAAGAAACAAAAAATGGTAATAAGAAACAAACAAGGAAAATAACAACGAACATGGGCCCAAAAAGGAGTTTGAAAAAGAATCTCCAAAGAAATGTTAGAATTAACCTTCAAAGCTAGAAGAAAAATGTTTGCCCAATTGGAAATGTTCATTGCTCTCTCATGTTGGGCTTGTTCTTGGAGATCTTGCACTTCATTACTGTGATGTGGTGATTGTAGAGAGTCAACTTCCTCAAAGGACCTCAGGGTGGCAATTTGTTTTTCATAATATTCTCTCTCCCCTTATATAAAAAAGGAAAAAAAATAACTCAAATATGAGATTAACAAGAGGAAAATATAGATTAACAAGAGGAAAATATACTTCTCTTTGCATGAGAAACAAACATTTAGAAATATATGTGAGAACAATTTGTTAAATTAATTTACCTTGGAAAACAAGATAATACATATTACCTTTATATATAATCGCTAATAAAAATGAGAAACAAGAGAGATTAAGCCAAAGGGCAGATAATTTTGAGTTAATTACCTTCCATTAAGCCAGAGGTTTTAGTAAGGTCAAGATGAAGAAGGGCCTCAGGATCAAGGCCAGAACGGAGCTTTTCAGGCAATTTGGAGAAAAAATCACACTTAAGAGAAGTAAAAGAATTTCTGTTTTGAACTCTCCCATTGCCATTGGGCTTTTCATGATCTTCAGTGCAAGACAATAGTGGGGTTTTCACATAATCCAAATCACCTTCCATATATTCACTCACTGATCAAAGATATCTGTTTTCCAAGCTATGCTTATTAGAAGGAAAAAGAAAGAAGAAGAGAAGAAAGGAAGACACAGAAAGTTAAACTGACTAACTCATGACTTTCTATAGCCTTATTACACACACACACACACACACGAGACATGTTCTGCTCAACTTCCCACGAGACTAAATTTGTCTAAGGGATGATGTGTTCATTGTATGTTAATCATGATGAAAATAATTGGTACAATGGCTACAAAAACGGTATTATACTCGTAAAAATAAAACTCCATCACTCATAAAAACTAAGTATTATTAAGTTAAATTTCGTCTATCTATTTAAAAGGATTAAATAAGTATTATTAAATTAAATCTCGTTTATCTATTTAAAAGAACTAAATAAGTATTATTAAGTTAAATCTCATCTATCTATTTAAAAAGATTCACTTCATGTGAATAACGAGATTTTAAACCACAGCGATAAATAAGAATGCTCTATCTTTTTTAGTCGTTATCTCAAAATTGAGAGAGAGGGAGAGAGAGAATGACAAGTTGGTATTTTTTCTGGCTCGGCATATCTGGCTGTTTCTGGTCGCTGAGGACAAATGGCACTTGTAACCTTTAATGTGCGACACAAGTGTCTGTTGCATATAGGGCTGTTCTATTGTTCTGCTTACCTACTACAGTTATGCAGACTTCCCTTTTGATTTATATATATATATATATATTAAAGAAAAAAAAAGGAAGTAAAGAGTATGAGACTTGTATTTTTGCCCTTATTAATATATTGGAGTATTTAATATCAGAATAGAAAAAATACTTCATTGATAAAAATGCAATTTTTAATCGTCAGATTTATTGTGATTTCAATGTAATTTGATAGTTCAAAATTTTACCATACTAATATATCATTCTTTTCATTAGATTGTATATATTATCAATAATATCAAAAAACAAAAATAGAGAATTTACTTTTAAGAATACATGAGTCTAGATATTTATCTTTTATTATTGATAAATACCATTTCGTTAGTGTAATTATTTGATTAAAAAAGTTATAGATTAAGAGTAAATGGTAAAAATCTTGATTCATACACTTTTTAAGAATATTTATCAAGATTATCCCATTATCAATGACGGAGTTAGGGGCAGGGAGGCCATAACCCCCTAGCTTTTTTTTTTCTTGTTTTTTAATATAATAGTTTTAATTTTAATATAATAGATATGTGTGTAATTAGACTTTGCCTCCCATAAATTAATAGTTCTTTACACATTTTATTGAGCTAACTATTTAGATTTTAGAAAATAAATTATTCAATTTTATTAAGTCCATAAACATTAGTATAATCTTAATAGAAGAAAAAAATTTAGCTCCCTACCGATAAATCCCGACTCCCTCACTGTATATTATTGTTTACTTCTCTACTTTGTCCAAGACTAAATAGGGTTTAATGTAAACCATTACAAGTATTTATGAAAGCTATAACTTAACCTCTTACACTCTTGTACATTTTACCAAAAGCATATGATTATGTGTTGATTCTAACACTCATAACATTTTCGGAATACGATTTACCAAATACCCAACTAGTAAAAGTACCATTTTTCTCTAGCTTACCTAACTATATATATATATATATATATATATACACGCGTATGTACATATACTTATATATTTTGTTTTTATGTGAATTAGACAAGTATCCACAGAATTATAACTTCTGTCAAATTTTTGCCACTTTTTAAATGACATTAAAAATTGACTTTTTAAGGCCTCGTTTAATTTACCGATTTAAGTTTTTAATTTGAACTGAGATGTGATTTTATGTGAGAATTTTTAACTGTAGTAAAATTAAATGTGATTATTTTTTAGAGTTTTTAACTGTAACAAAACTGAAATTAAAAATTTAAATAAATGAAATGAACGAAACCTAAAACATAAAAAATTATTATAATTACATAAATACAGGGAAGAAAAAGATAAAAGAAAGATAACGTTGAGTTGAAGTTTGAAATTATGAAGAAGAATGGATCTCAGTTGTCATATCACATAATTATTGATTCCACCAAAAAAATCATACCAGGCGCTTAGACAAAAAATTATTCACAATACAACCTAGGTAGTGATGTGACCAATTCCTATAAATAATGAAAAGGTTGAGCTACATTAAAACTTCCAATATTAAAAAAAAAAAAAAAGAGTTGTTGGGGAAATTAGAGAAGAAAAATAGATAAATCATGGAGTATGGTTGTAAAGTTCTACTTTCCAATATGTTTGTTTTACAATCTTGACTTTAATATAGAGGGCCCCACTTCGCATGGGGCGAGTAAGAGAAACTATGCGTTAAACGTGTATTTGAGGGAGTATTAGAAGGAGTTTCTATTAATAGGACATATTAATACAGTGAGAAATATCAAAGAAACAATAATTGTAAAATTGTGATGATGTAAAGACTCATGAAACTTGCCCATCACCACCATTAATATAATCAGAAGTCAAATAGGCACGGATTGTAATGAAATCATGGTCCTTAAATTTTAATGCCCTTTTTTTTTTTATAAATTTAAGTCCTAGTAGGATGCACATGCTAAGGCTTTGGGCCAATCTATATTGGTGTAACTATGTAAGGTCAGTGTTTATACATTTAAATTACGATATATTGGCCTTCGGTGGGAAAAAGGAAAAGGAAACAAAAGCACAAGGAAAAAGAACATGAAACAAAGAAGTAAAGGGAATCACAAGAAGGACCTTCTTACTTATGAGCACAAAACAAACCAAATTTAGTAAAGAATTCATTTTTGCAACCTAATTCCGAAAGAAAATCTCATGTGAGTTTAAATATATATTCTATATTTTTATATATATGTATGTGTATAATTCTTACCTGTTGAGAGTGGTATATGGGAGTTTTTGCATGTGGAGGTATGTTCTAGTTCATAGTTTTCCTTCCATGGCATTTGAAACCGATCAAAGAATTTGGACCTAGCTTCACAATAATGATGCCACTCTCTTATACTACCCTCATGTTTTCTCCCAAATCCAATATGTGTCAACAATGGTGAGCAATGTTCATCAAATTGCCTGGCCATTTGAATTTAGCCAAAGATTGAGATTAATTTCAGTGACTAAGTACTTAATAGAATAGAGACACAATAACCTTAATGAAGTGTGCATGGAGTTCAAGTTCGGACAAGTTTATGAGCACTAGATGGTGACAATTCCCAAGTGTGGTTTAGCCACCGGATATATATATATACACACACACACTTGGAAGCCTTGGAGTTTGTGCTAAAGATAGGCCAATTTATGTAGTAATTCCTTGACAAACACAAAAGAAAGAAAAATCTGTCTGGGATAAGATAGTTTGTCCCAAGTAACTTGTTTTTTTCTCCAATAAGGTATCTTGGTTAAAGATGAACAATCTGTTCATTCTTTTATTCTTTCTCAGTGATTGAAGCCAGTGCACGGGGGGGGGGGGGGGGGGGGGTACGTACTCAGTGAGAGACAAGGTGTGTATATCTCTGTGTGTATTCATGAACCACTAAATTTTTATCAAAATATTTTTGTATTTATATTTGTACAAAATTGGTTTAGGTTATTTGACGAAGCTTTTGATCTTTTACTTTTATCAGGATCTGGTAAAGTTGCCCTCGTAACTTATGTGTTTGTCAAATAACGGCATTGATGTTTCTACTATTTAGTTTTAGTGTATTTTTGTTGTTTGGTTGGTTTTCTTTTTTAATAACGGAGGTGATTTCTCTATTTTTAGGTGTAGTCTTAATGTATAGTCCGCAAGTCCTTATTCTTTGTCGTGTTGTGGTAGACCTCAATGCTTTTAGTCTCTTAATCTCAATAGATAGGAGTTTTCTATTTGTGTGCTCAATTAGTTATGTGCCTATTTGATTTTCTCTTGTTGAAACTTAATACGTATATTACCCTTTTAATATTTCAGTCGAACTTACTGATGGTTACAATATGTAGTTGGAGTTGAGTCACTAAGTGTGTTGGGATTTTTCTCATAGGAATTAGTATTTCTATTTATTTGGAGTGCAAATACCATCTTCAAAGAAAAAAAAATTAGAGAGTAATTTTTAAAAAGACCCTTTGAAATATAGCCCTTTTTATTTTTATTCCTTATATTAATCTATATATTTATATCTTTTAGACTAGAACTAATTAAGTGATGAAATTTTTTAAAAGAGATACTTTTAGTAAGTTAGGTATTTAAGAAGATATAATCAATAATTTTTTCAAATCCCCTATAGAAGTATTCGTTTTGTGTATTTAATCACCAGTCTATATGGGCTCAACGAGTTGGAATTTCTAATGTGGGCTTCTTTGATTTAACCTAGAATAGGCCCAGATTAATGCCTACAATTAATAAGTTCCGTGTGAAGATTCCGTTGAGAAAATCTAGACCGGTTTTCAACAATCCTGAACCGGTATGGAATTGTTCTTAAAACAAACAACCCCCCAACAAAAGCCATATTAACGGGGGTCTGTTGGATAAATAGACTAAGTAAAAATTACTTTTAAGTAAATAAATAAAAAAATAAATAAATTAGGTAAATAAGTCAATTTCCACATAAGTTATTGCACGTTATTAATTATGTTTTTAGGAGTTTCTTTCTCCTCATTCTCTTTCATTTCGCGCCATTTTCTTCTCCTAACCGCCTTTCATTTCTTCTCTCCTCTTCTCAAGTCCTCGTCGTCACACAACCTCATTAACATTATTATCTTGCCCATTCAGCATTTTTTTTTCTCGTGCAAAATGAAGTTTGAAAAAGAGCTTGTAACACCCCGAAGAATTAAACAAGATTAATTGAGGTAATGAAGATTTATTAGTTTACCTAATCTGATCTAATTAATTGATTATTGATTAATAAATATTTATGACGTGTAAATTTAAATAATTCTAATGTATTTAAATATTTTCAGTAATTACATTTTTATTCCAGAAGTGTGTGTGAGCACATTTCTGGACTGTCTTTTAAGTTTGTGACACCT